AAATTTTAGATTCAAATATCCAAGGAAGAAAAAACCTTTTTATGATTGATCAAAGTCAATCAAGAGTTCTGCAAAAACATTCTTTAGCTTTCTTTAATCATCCTGAGATTAATTGTAGTGTGGTCACTCTTGTGATCACAAGAGCTGACCGAAATTCAGCTTTTCTATTTTCATTTACATGAACTCTCATCTCAACATTTATATAATATTCTGGGAGAAAACATTAGTTTTCCTTATTTATAGCTAGTTGGTTAGATATTAAATATCCAGCGTGGTTTCTACTCTATTCTTCTAATCATAAAGTCCATTAGGCAAATTATCATGAATAATAAATAATAATAGTAATTTGATGTAGAGAAGAGTGTTTGGAAAGTGCCAAAAGAAAAAAGTGAGACACAATCGATAATCACGGGCACAAAGGTCTCCACATCTAAAAAGGATTAGTAGAAGGTAAAGAGTGTGACTCATGGGCACATTTCCAAGAAATTCTTCACTCATGATTCTTCGTCAGCCAGAAATTGCTGACGACAGAACAGTTTTTCTGCCTGCAATCCAGGCCATCAATCCACTATTTCTCTGTCTCTGCATGAGACGCCCGAATAGGCTCCCAATAGGACTGCAAGTGCAGCCCTGGAGCGGAAGAGCTTTGCTGTTATATGCAAAAGAAGTCGCTCTGCGGCTGACCTTATGCAAGTGCAGCGCGCTGTGGTAATTGATTTTTAATGTCCACTTGTGTGGTTGCAATTGAGATTATCGCGCGAGAGTGTGAATCACAATATTGATTGCTCGCGTGCTTTTGTACCCTCAACTTGACTTTCGGTCTCTCTCCGCTGATAACATGACACAGTTTCACCTATTTATAATCCCGCCACACATTCAACATCGCGATAATGGACAGTTCAGTGAACCGCACAAGTCCTGTTGCTGTCCATCCCAGTGACCTTTGTTGCCCTTGCGCGCCCAGTGCGACTCTGGCGGCTAAGCTTTTCAGCTCACCCGCGAGAAACAGGCTGTAAATTGCTCAAGAGATATCGACAGTGTGCCACATTTCGTAGTGTGTGACTAACTAGCTTTTCGCGGGCGCGAATGATGAAATGCGTCCAGCCAATTGGAGTCAATTGCCATCGAGGCGAGCCCCTTTCGCGCGTTTTTTATCTGCCATGTGTGTTTGCTGCTTCTATCGCACCAAATTTGCCATTGACGACAATGGCACATTGCGCGATCTTGACTTCCGCCTTGAGCTGCGAGCTTTGGGTGGTTGGAAATTTGGACGTCAATGTGCACGCCAATTGATCCCTTTTCTTCAACACCATTTGGGTGTAAACAAACCAATTGAAATGCAATTATGTTTGTGTTGAAGTAAAGCCCCACAATTGCGCATCGAATACACTGCGATGTAATTTAAATATCAATTTAGCATATATTCTCCAGCTCCGTTTCTGCCTCTCAGTCACTTTGCAGAGATTGAAACAACCTTGGGCGAGTCTTGGTGAAGGAACTTGTGAGATTCTGAGTGTCGGGTGGAAAAAATGTGTGATTTTGCATTGGTGCCGGTGGAAAAAAATATCTGCTAGAATCACATAGTAACTGGATTTTCGTCACCTGACAGAGAAACAGAGAGAAAGAGTGACTAATTAGTTGATGTGCGAGATAAGGCAAAAAAGGGAGAAAATAAGGTCAAACGAGAGAGCTTTTAAGTTAAAAGTTTTGTCAGTTTATTAAGTAGAAGAAAAACCCCCAAGTGTAGGCAAAATAGAGTGGAAGGTTCTGTGGAAAATTTGAAAAAACAACAATTCTTAATGAGTATTCATTGAATTGTTTTTGTGTCGCATAAAAATAAAATTGTTGGCAGGCGCAAATCAATTAAGTGGGAATGACTATGGGAAAAATGTGGGGAAATTTCACGCGGGAAAAGCTCTTCCAGTAAACACTCTGTGCAGTAAAGTGGGTTAAGTTGGAGAAGTCGGGTTTAAACTAGTTCTAGCCGGTGGCCAATTGATATCAATCTCCCTTTAGAATGTGAATCAAGGCATGATAACGCAGTTCCAGTTAATATTCATCACCGCGACTGTTGCGTGCGCGCAAAGGTCAACGGACAGTTGAGGCGATCGTCGGCCAAATCAATTGGACAATCGAAAGTGTTGGCCAACTTTCACGACAAAAACAACCGAAACAACATATGAAATTATGGAAAAGTCCTGAGATGAGAAGACACTGTCGCCAAGACGTTGAGCTCCAATTGACATGAATTCTCGCGTTGATTTGCGCCCAATTCACTTCAATTGCGCCTGCGGGATGTTTCCGCACAAAAACACACTTTGGTCGCGCACCATTGTTTTGATTTATATGTGCAATTTCCAGTCTGATACCTCTTTTAATAAATTTCAATCATTCACAATCAGCATCGCACTGAGAGTCTAAATTTAGACTCGAGTTGTGGACCTCTTTTGTCCGCGCACACAGAGATTCATTATGCGGACAAATAGACGCGGCAAAGTGGCCAATTTTGCCACATTTACGCTTTAAATAGACTACACTAGATTTACCAGAGGGTGTTTTTATATCTGGATTAGTAGTGAATTCACTTGCGGAAGTTCGCAGTGACGCGCAAGAGGCTAAATTCTTATCTTCATCTTGGATTTCCCTTTTTTTTACGCTCCCGAATAAAAAATTAATTTGTTCAGTGTTGTACAATTTCTTGAGATTACATTCAATGATCGCACAAAAGATCTTTGAAATAGCATTAGAAGAATCATGACGGGCATAAAAATAAACCATTAAAATTCAGTAGAAAGAGTTGCTGAAAAGGTGGGAAAAAACCACAAAACTATAAGATTCAATTTATTCATTTTGATATCACATGTTTTTGCTACCGATTTTCCTAGTAATAATTTTCACAGTATGACAGCACTTAGAATTTTTCAAGGGAAATTGAGCAACAGCGCGAAATTTCACGCGTGTGTCCCGTAAGGTTGCTTCTCACGCCATTGTGCTGGGAATCAATTAAACATCGAGTGAAAAATGCTACAAGATGTTGAATTAAAGCCATTAGTTGTTTCTGAATGGGAGGAAATTACAGTGAGAAAATTTGTAGTGCGTTGAAGAAAATCATGACTATTTTCATTGCCGCACTTTCATTGAGATCGCCGATGACAGAGAAAGGTAAACAAGCAATTATTATGCAAAAATGTGGGCTTTTGATGGTGGTTTTTAATTATCTGCACGCTTATGTACATAACAATAATGAGTTTTGACTTATGATTTTAGTTAAATTAAGACAATTAGGACTTTGAGATTCTTTCAAATACCTTCGTGTGTGATGAAGAATTTTATTTCATATTTTAGTTTTATGCTAACAATCGACTTTAACGTCTTTCTGCAAACGGAAGCAGTTGTTAAACTTTCGTCAAATAGTCAATTGTCGTCATTATTATGCGTATTCTTCAATATGACGAGAGCAAATCATTGTAAATGGTTAGAATTTTTGAGAAAAAATTGTAGATCTTCCAAAATAGTCAAGTGAATTACAAGATGAAACGTTAATGAAATTCTTCAACCTATGGAAATCTTTGTGTAATAATTTCGAGACCAAATTAAAGGCCGCGTGATGTGATTTCTGTACGTTTTACATCATGAACAGAAACCGCCTTATCGAAATGATAGTGAAAACTTATTGCATCTAATTTGTCTAGAGTAACTGACGACTGATCGCATGATTGATGAAATTGAGTACTTCTTCCATAGATAAAGAACCTGCAATCTTATGTGCAATATTTAATGGCATCAAATGCGCGGAGAGAAAACTGTAATGACCTTAATGACTGGAGTATTGATCTAGAAATAGCTGTGATACAAATTGCCTATCAATTTTCTGAGCTTCCATGCTTTTTTATTTGTGTGCTTCCCAGAAAATTGTGAGCACACTTTGTGTCACATCAATTAGGCGACAACCGTTGAGATAAGATTGATAATGTGGTTGAATATTTGCTGAAATGCTTATCAGCGCGACGTGATAAGGAATCATTAGAGCCGCACTCCGGAACACAACTATGTAAAAATGATTTGCAAGTGATGAAGACTGAGAGATTTATTGTGCAAGACACACTCCGCCCACACGTGGAAATCCACGAGTTGGCGCGTCACGCAGGAATTCCCCCAAAAGCGGCCGAATCGGAAATTTCACTCTCAGTCCAGCTGCCGCTCTCTGCTAAATGGTTTTATGGGTTTTATGCAAAGTTGCAGAACGACAGATTAGTTTAATTGCGGTTTTTTCGCATACGACTCTTATCACACAACTGGTTTTGCCATATATTAGATCACGATCAGGAATAATTGGGAGCAGAGTTCACGTGTTTTTCCATCGTATTACTAAAAAAAAAAAGATGCAAAAATGTTATTGCACGAGACACATGGATTCGTTCAATTAGAATATTGTAAAACACATCCAGTATTTCGCGGTTTTTTCCCAACCGCCGCACTTAATTTGCGAAATATCAATATCGCAATTATCTTGTCCCATATAGCAACATGATAGCATCTCTCTGGATCTATTCGAATTGATTCACGTGATAAAAATTCCAGCAACATATGCGAATAGTGCATTTTTTGACTTTGCAAATCACCCTGAAAACACTCTCGAGGTGACTTTCAGTGTCTGACTTCCCGAAAAGTGCCGCACAAATCCACGTGAGAAACTTCCCATAATACTCTATGCACTCTTTTATTATCATGTTCAATGGGGCATTTGGAGTGGGAGGGCGCATTGAAAAGAAATTCATGCTATTGATCTGTGACGTGCATTCGCGAAATTGTATAACGGCGCGCGCGATGTAAAAAGTGAGCAAAATCGCAGTGAAAAGTGCCTCAAATTTAAGGCCCTGCAATACACACACGCGCGCGCATTGAATTACCCCAACTCTGGATGATGGAAGTGTGTGTGCTTGTGGCTGGATTTTTGCACACAATTGTCGTGCGGATTAAAGCCTGAGCTCAGCAGTTGGCTGCTGAAGCTCGTCGCTGGTCGACCGATAAACTCAGGCTAATCCTCGCGGGGGCTGTTCAGTTGCTCTCCGGCCATTCAGTGGAGCGAAAGTGTGTGTTGGATAATCGGACACAGATTTGTTCTCTGGACAACAAGACAGAGTGAATATCCGTTGCATTGGGAGACAATCATTTCCGCATTAGTACACGTGAATCTGCGCCATGCGCTAGAATTTTTCCCGCCTTGGCAGAGAGAATCTGCCGCGAAACTTCTCCAGAGTGAAAATGTGCAAAAACTCTGCTATTGTGACACTAAATTGCGTTAGAAGCGAAAATATGTGTGGAAAAAGTCGATATAGTTTGCAGTAATAAAATTAATTTGATAATAAGAAGTTTAAGTGATAATTCAACGAGACCAAAAAGCGAAATTGGAAACTTTTTAAATACATTATCACATCATTTCGTAGAGACACTTTATAAGAGCCCAATAAATTGCTTTGTGTGTTGAAAACAGAAGAAACACATTTTTGCAGTTTCACCAGTGACAATTAAGAGACGATCAATTGTGCAAATATTTTATCTTCTCGCGTGAACAATAATAATATTTTGCTCAACTCTTGCAACATCACGGCATTGATAAAAGTGATAAGAGTGTGTTTTCCCATTGAAAAAAAAATAAAAGATTGTCGGGTGGAATTTCAAATATGATGTACATCTTTTTCCCAATAATCAAAATCTCAACTCCCGCGAAAGGCCGCCGTGACACAGAAAAAATGGAGATTTTATCACGATTTCGCGACAGTCAATCATATTTTACAGTGACTGAGAGTCACATTTCTGCCGTGCCGTGTGGAAGTGATAAGAGAATTGCGATAATGGAGACAAGCTCTCAATGAGAGGCCAATTAGAGGATTTTCTGCCTTTATGGTCGCAATCTCGCGTCTTTGCGACGCATAACAGAAAAAAAACACACAAAGATGTGATGTGATATTTCAGATGAGACGCTGATAAGGTTTTTTTTCTGCTCCTGTCCACGACATATCTCACGGATGAGATCAATTTAATTGGCAATTGTGTGACGAATTGGCGAATTGTTTTGTTCATCAATTTCCATACAGCAATTGCACAATCAGAAATTACCCACCAAGTCGTTGATTTCTCATTCGGAACAATTGCACTGTGAATTCAAGTCTGAAGCGCTCTTTTTTTCGCTGCAACATTCGAAAAGGGTTTATCAATACTTGTGTTGAGTGACAGAGGATTAAAATCTATATTATAATAAATTTATCCATGATATTAAGCGTCAAAGTGCAGAGAATTCAAGCGAGATTCTTCAGAATCAAATCATTTTGGATACTTTTCCACTGATTCGGTCTTGAAGAGAGTGCTTTGTTTCGCCTTCTAATCAATCATAAAATCTTCTCCAGAAACTACTCAATGTAACCTGTTGGAACTAAATCTCAGCCATAAATTATGGAAGCATTAAACCCGTATCATAAGCTAACACATATTATGTTAGTCCTTGACTTCTCAATGCTAGCAAAATGGAACACTGCATTCTTGTGGTCACTCAAGAACGTGCCCTGCTCTCCCCTACAAAATCACAGCACAATGTTGACGAAGAAATTTTCCACTGCATGTGAAAAGTTTATCTAATGAGATCAAGATCCACATTGAGGATGGCAGAAAGTGAAATGCAATTGGCGACAATATATATTGTTGGAGTGTTCATAACGTATCACTTTTACTCCCTTTTGTGCTCCCGCGCATTTTATCGTCGCGCTGAGGAGGCAAACAGACTTGAGTGTGTTTGCACAATTATCTCAACAAATTCTCCTCTTCTCGGTGGATTTTCTTTTATTGCTGAGACACCCCAAAAGCCTCCCTCGTGGTCAAGAGATCTCTTGTTTTGGACTGTGGAAAACACCCATTAATCTCTGTCAATTGAATGGATTTTTTACGTTGGCCAAATTTCATGTTTTTGGTGCAAAAGCTATTGCAGATAATTCGTTGGAAACTCGAGATGAATTACAGCCCATGATTGATAAATTGTTTATCACCTGTCACTTCAATTACCTCCAATGATAATGTTGGCATTGTTACCATATAAACCCCCTCGGTGACAATCTCTCGAGGCAGTCGCGCAATCACCTTCATCCGCAACCGCTGGGATTGATCGAGTTCCCGCACCTGGAAAAGTGTTCGTGAGTCTTGTGCAGCAGAAGTGCTAAGAATGTGGACTTAATTCCCTTTGCATTTCTCCCAAATTAAATACTAAGCTTTAACCTATGAACTTCTGTGGAGGAAATCACATTCTAGAAATGAATATTTTAAACAATTCACATCTATTTCTATCCTATATTTGACGACGAAGATTTTATCTCTGCTAATTCGTCTCTATTTCGCAGTTTCTCCTGTATTTCGCACAAAATCTGCAAACGTGCCGAAAAAAAAACTCCTAAAAATGTGACATTCTAAGCTATTCAAATTTATACGAAAGTGACCTTTCCTTGTCTTTTCCCAGAAATCACCTTCTTCAGCTTTGATTTCCTATCCTTTCGTCATCTGCACACGCGCCACCATTTGACCCGCCAACAATTCACAATCACGGCAATTTTCCTTGATTCCGCGAAAGCCCTTTCCTTCCTGTTAATTCTGCGAATATGAGAGGTGCTTTTTTATCAATGAAAACATCTTTAGCAATTCAGAGCACGTTCAAGGCAGATTCTCAATAGAATTTTATGTGTCTGGTGCTTTTGAGAAAAATTCACGATTGAAAATCCGTCCATGAGAAATGGCAAAAAAGTGTGTGCGCGCGGCCTTCCTCGGGTTCTCCAACCGGTGTGTCTAATAGATTAGCCGCAGATGTTTGTGGGCAAGAATCGTGACACAATTGTAAATGCAATTGGCATAAATAATCGGCGCAATTAACGACGTGTGTGTAGTTGATTTGAAATTCAACCCGACAGAGGAGGAAGAGTTTTAGCATATAATGTTCAATGCACTTTTGACCCCGTCAATTTGGCTTGGGGACTTTGTAGCTTCTCTTCCTCTTGTGTGCGGCGCCCCAAGAAAGGGCTGACAAGTTCTCTTCCTTCTCCCACCACTTAGACCACAAAGACGAGCGAGAAGAAAACTGAAGTGAAGTGATAAGAGCCAAGTCACACAACGACTTTCAGCTGAAGTGATTAGAAGACAATTAGCGTCGTGAAGTGCAATTTGATAGCGATGAGTCGCTTAGTGGAGAATCTCCTGATACTGGGAGGAGTGCTTATTGTGATAAATAGTCATGCTCAAGGATTTCTAGTCACTAGACAAGTCGAGGGGGAGGACATCTGTGATAGGTACAGAAGATCTCGCGCCAAATGCCCAAGAAGATTCCCATGATAAATCTGTCATTATCCACTTGAGATCTAATCATACTTTTCTGCACTCTTTGCAGTGAAATTTATTGCCATGGACCCCTTCTGGACACCATCCAGATGGCGCATCTCTACAATGACTCCAAGACTTTCGTGGACATGAAGCTGAAACAGAGGCCAGAAGTCACGCTGCAGCTCTTCCAAGAGTTCATGGCGACGCACAATCAACAGCCGACAAGGGAGCAGATTCTCGGCTTCGTGGAGGCCAATTTCGACAAGGAGGGATCGGAATTTGAGCCCTGGACCCCTCTCGATTGGCACCAAAACCCAAAGTTCCTCGAGAATGTGCAGGACCCGAAGCTGAGGGAGTTCGGTCGGGATCTCAATGATTTGTGGCTGAAATTGGGCAGAAAGATGACCAAACAAGTGGAAGAACAGCCCGAACTGTTCTCCATCATCCACGTGAATAACCCAGTAATTGTTCCCGGTGGACGATTCAGGGAATTCTACTACTGGGACTCGTACTGGATCATCAAGGGACTTCTCTACTCTGAGATGTTCTCGGTAAGTAATTGAGATCATCATTGTTGTTTTGGCATTTATTAACACTCTCTCGTGCCTGGATTTCCTTTGCAGACCGCCAAAGGGATGCTACAGAACTTCCTGGATATCATCGCGACGTTTGGCTTCATTCCCAACGGCGGACGTGTGTACTACCAGAGATCACAGCCACCGCTCCTCGCTGGCATGGTCAAGGCCTATGTGGAGTTCACGGGCGATGAGGAGTTTGCCATCCAGGCAGTTCCGCTGTTGGAGCATGAATTCAACTTCTGGCTCAACAATCACACAGTTCAGTGCCTGGGACACGACATGTTCATCTACGGTGACAAGTCCCGAGGACCGCGGCCCGAGTCCTATCGCGAGGACGTGGAGACGTCGCAGGACTTCCCCACGGATGCGGCCAAGGAGGAACACTACTCAGAACTGAAGGCCGCCGCCGAGAGTGGCATGGATTTCTCAAGTCGCTGGTTCATCGACGAGGCGGGCACGAACAAGGGCGATCTGAGGAATCTCAAGACGCGCTCCATTGTGCCGGTGGAACTGAACGCCATCCTGTTCTGGAACGCCAAGATCATCGCTGAGTTCTACATGTTGGCGCACAATGTGCAGAAGGCGTTCGAGTTTGAGAATCGCGCCACACAGATTGCCGAAGGTGTTCAGGCGTGCTTTTGGCACGAGGACATTGGCGCCTGGCTGGACTACGACTTGATCAATTCACGCCGCCGCAACTACTTCACGCCCACAAATCTCTCGCCGCTGTGGATGCGCTGCTTCAACGAGGCGCTCGAGGCCAACATCACCGAGAAGGTGTTGCAGTACATCGACAAGGAGAGACTCGACGAGTATCCTGGTGGCGTGCCCAACACCATGGAGCGCACTGGTGAGCAGTGGGACTTCCCCAATGTGTGGGCGCCCATGCAGTACATCCTGATCGCCGGCCTGGACAACCTCAAGGATCAGAGGGCGAAGGATTTGGCGCGCAGCTGGGCCACAAGGTGGGTTCACTCCAACTACATCGCCTTCAATGACACCCACGCCATGTTTGAGAAGGTGAGTTTCTGCTCTCCGACACAAGAATACCGAAGGACAATTGAGCACGCATTCTCTCTTTTGCAGTACGACGCCGAGGAATTGGGTGGTCATGGCTCTGGTGGTGAATATGATGTGCAAATCGGCTTTGGCTGGTCCAACGGAGTGATAATTGAGCTCCTCGACAAATACGGAAGTGTTCTCTCAGCGCCAGGTTCGAAGAAAAGGGATCGTAGTGAAATGGAAAATTTCTTGTAACATCCATCATGTCTCTCATTCGTTGGCACACACAAACCCACAGGTTTATCACAATTTCCATTTCTATGTTTGCTTTTGTATAATTTGCGAATTGCGGCGTTGCAAGCAGGCAAGAAACACGCATCATCGACAAATTTTTCACGCATTTTCAATTCAGTTTCCTTCATTTTATCAAAACGCTTTTTCTCGTCCAACATTTTTCATTTTGTGATTGTCGTGTTTTATTTCTCTGTAAAAAGTGCTTCCGTGTTGTCTCTTTTTGCTTACTAGTGTTGTTCTTGTTTTTTTTCTCTCCGCAGGAAAATTCTCTGCAAAGTAGATAATTGAAAAATTGTCCAGACTGGCCGTTTTTTCCCTCTTTAGATTGTGGAGACGACAAAATTGTCTCCCATAGTGTTTCTTGCTTCTGTGACGTGTTTTTTTTGTTAGTCGCACAGTGTTCGTTTTTTTGTAAATTGTCAATCAGCAATTTTAACAAGTTTAACGAATTACAAATCGCGATAAAACGCGAATGAATTGATTTCGCCAACAACATGATTGTCTCTCATTTCAGGTTCTTCGTCTTATGGATTGAAGCCATTAAGTGCCTTTTTCATTGCCACTGTGGCTCTCTTTGGTACAATTTTGTCGAGGATTTTCGGGTGAGGTAAATATCCAGCGAAGATTCGTGCAGAATGGATTCGGCATTAAAAAAAATCTCCCTGATTTGCAGATGAAACTCCACCGTGATTTCATGACTGAGTGTTTACTGCATAAGTGCATGCATTTATGTGCCAGTTCTCTTCAGAGGGACACACTAAAATCCTCCACATTTCTTCACAAAATGTACACAATGAAGGAAAAATGGTGATAACAGGGAATATTATTGTAACAATCAGTCGATATAGTGACACGTAAAGCAAGATTACATTGAATAATCATATCACAATTTATAAAGAATTTAAAAATAGGCATTTTAAGTTTGATTGTTTGTCTTCTCGCAAAAGCATAACTTCCCAAAAATGTATGTGTAAATATGTAAGTTTAATGCAGTGTTTCCCTCTTTGTTTTGTCTATTATTATTTTCAGCTTTAAAAGAGAAATTTGTACACCTTGTCATATTTTTTTCTGCTATAATACTTGTGAAATAGAATATTTTCTTAGGTGTTAAATATTTTTACACTCAATTATACAAGAGGACGAGATAGGAAAACCCACACGCGTTTTGTGACAATCAAGAGAGGCATGTTGAAAGTGTAGTTGTTAATAAAATTGTTATGAGCATAAGAATGCGAGATTAGAATTTAGATTAATTTTATCCCTCCCAGTATTAGATGCTAAAGTGTAAATAAAAATGAACAAGGCGAAGGGTAAATAGAGAGTAAAATAAAAAGAAAATTTCTATTTTAACTGCATGGAGTTATCTTGCATCCCTCACGATTCACCCGGAACGGTTTTGATAGAGCTCTTCTCTCTTTTTCAGTGCTGGAAAATCAATTGCTGTGAAACTTATGAACGGTAGAAAGCAGTAAAGTATTTGAATTTTTGAATCAATTTTTGAGATTTTCATATTTTTTTTTGCATAGCACAAAAATCTCTTTCAAGGAAGGATAACAGAAATTGTAAATAATGATGTATTTTCACACGTGTATTTTCCTATTTCAACCTCGAAATAAAAGAAAACTCCAAAAAAAGTCATCCTGAATGTGTACTTTTGAAATTTGCCCACTGGCGGCGTTTTGATGCAGTGGTGAATTTCAGTGAAATTCTCCACTTGTTTTGTGTCTGTCAAAGTGAGTCTCTTTTATTTGTTTTCCACCCCATTTTTCTCGTGAGTCTCTCCAGTGAAATCGCGAGTGTCCTGGGGTGCTAGGAGTGTTCTTGCCCGCTGCCAGACACCAGTGGAAGGTACACGTCTCCGTGAGACCACACGGGAAGTCACGCAGAGTGGCTGAAACAAATCCGGGTGAACCGACTGATGTAAGCTGCAGTGCTGCTCGGTTTTTACACAAACTGAGCCCCGGAATTGAGGCTCAGGTGCTTTCTCTAATCCCACATCACCTCTTCTTCCGCCCTAACGCCCTCATGCGCCTTCCGACGCCTCCCTTGTGCCTTATTTCTCACCTGCTTCCGAGAATTCGCCCTGGCTGTGCTGGGGAAACCTTTCACATGCGGGCGCACGGCATGCTTCCATGTTTCCGCGTGACATTTCGTTGGTTTCCAGCTGACGCGCCGCGCGGCAGGCAAAACGTGGTCTTTGAATTGTAAATACGGCGTGTGAGCCGAGATGGCAGATGCATTTTTTTTTTGTTTTCTTCGGATTTTTCGCAGAGACGTTAATGTCGAAATAAGTGCAAATTTGTAATACATTTTCTGTTCGTTGCAGTCCAGATAGTGATAAAATTGTACTCAAAATCCAGTGTATCCTTAATATATTTTTGAAATATTGCCTAAATTAGTTAATTACCATGAAAATTTGATCAATTTTAGCTATACAATTGTATATTTCTTGGATTTCTAGTATTTGTTTTTATTTCAATGCCGAATATCAGTAGAAATATCGCGAGAGAATTTGTGGTTCATGACAAGCAGGGATGGAGTGAAAATGAGCGGGAAGTTAGGTTATGTTCGTCGACGTGCGAAGACATCTTTGTTCTCGGAAATTTCCTGTTGCGTTGCTATCAAAAAGTACCGCTTTGCCTCATTTCTGGTGTGATCTTCGCGTGGTTCGGAAGAGATTCAGAGGCTGTTCTAACAGAATTACCGTGCGCTAAGTTTGCCTGGCCGTGAGCAAGATGATGCCCTACTATTATCCCCAAGTCTACTATCCATACGTAATGAGAAATGTGGTGTTTGGCTTGAGCCGCTTTTGGGTGTTGGGGAATATAGTTGGTTCTACTCGGTAATCGCAGGTCCTTCCGGCCTCGCCTTCTCCTCAATTGCAGGCGATGCCATCAGCTGTCGGCGGCGCGGCCCATGCGTCGCACGCGGCCACCCTGATCAGCAACGAGGACTGCGGCATCAGGGACGTGTGGAAGCACAATCTGGAGGATGAGTTCCGGACGATCCGGCAGGTGGTGTTGAAGTATCACTATGTGGCGATGGACACGGAATTCCCGGGCGTCGTGGCGCGTCCGCTGGGTGAGTTTCGCTCCTCCGCCGACTACCAATACCAGCTGCTGCGCTGCAACGTGGACATCCTCCGGATCATTCAGCTGGGGCTCACGTTCATGGACGACGAGGGCAAGACGCCGCCTGGCTTCACCACGTGGCAGTTCAACTTCAAGTTCAATCTGGCCGAGGACATGTACGCACAGGACTCGATAGATCTACTGCAGAACTCTGGGATTCAGTTTAAGAAGCACGAGGAGGACGGAATTGATCCGCTGGAATTCGCCGAGTTGCTCATGACGTCCGGCATTGTGCTGATGGACAACATCAAGTGGCTGAGCTTCCACTCGGGCTACGACTTTGGCTACCTGCTCAAGCTGCTCACGGATCAGATGCTGCCGGTGGAGGAGAGTGAGTTCTTCGAGCTGCTGCGCCTCTACTTTCCCACCATCTACGATGTCAAGTATCTGATGAAGTCGTGCAAGAATCTTAAAGGGGGCCTTCAAGAGGTGGCGGATCAGCTGGAGCTGCGTCGTGTGGGACCGCAGCACCAGGCCGGCTCGGATTCGCTCCTGACTGGCATGGCGTTCTTCAAGATGCGCGAGGTAGTTTCTCCTTCCGCCCTCCAATCCGCCCTCATTCAGTCCCACCGCCAGCTTCACTTGTACTATCCAGGATATCGCGCCCTTAAAATCCACTTTGCCATATGACGAGATCCCAAAGAGCATGCAAAACTCCCCCTGAAGAACTTAATATGAATGCAAGCCTGAAATATCCCATTAGTAATTAAGCTGAAGTTTGTCCATTTGCACACATAAATTTGCCGTAGAATCTTGTAAGACGAGCGCATGAAATGACTGATTTTTCTGTAGAAATGGTAGAAATATTGTAATAAATAAAGATTTTGGCAATTTAGGCATGTTTTGAAAGAAAAAATTGACGCAAAATGATCTTGAATCGTTTTGAGAATTGACAAATAGCAAAAACTAATGGGATATTTAAGGATATTTTCACTTAATCCACTCCCTTGATAATTGAATACAATTGAACTTTCCACAGATGTTCTTCGAGGATAACATCGACAACGCCAAATACTGCGGTCATCTTTACGGCCTGGGAACATCCTTCATTGTCAATGGTAATAATTATTCAGACAATGGCGAGGGGAATTCGGCATCTTAAGCACTCAACTTTTCACGCGAAGAAACACAGAGAGAGAGAGAGTGAGAATGAAGCAAAGATTTGAATGAGGAGAAAAAAAGAGAGGAGTTAAAGCAAATTAACTAATAAAGCAAATAGGATAAACACTGAAATATAAAGAGAAATATTTAGAGGCCAGAGACAGAAAAAAGAGTACTAAAAACAAGCAAATAAGCTTCTCAGAATCCTCCAGAAAAAAAATTTCAATGAAAGAAATTGAAGTGTGTAATTTCTGGAGTTTTATATAGAGCGATTTTAGCGCATTTCACGAAAACGATCACAATTTTTCTTGAGCCTCCTTGTAAAAGAGCAAAGGAAAGAGTGAAAAAACTGGAGAGAATATAGTAATTTCGTTTTGTTTTCTTTGTCAATGAAGAGGGAGAAAGAGAGAGAAAAAAGAAGCATCTGTGGATGCTGTAAATGTATTTCATTTTTCAATAATAACATTTCTGTTGACGCAATTTCGTGTTGAAATAATAATAATAATTTTGTGAACATTGAAAAATATTCATATTCTTTTTTTTGTAACAGCGATTCATTGCGAACATTTGATAAATAAAAAAAACACAAATTATCATCTAATAGCGTTGTAATGAGAGAGAGAGAGAAAATAGCTGAAATAAATTTTTCTTATCACAATTTTTTCCATCATTTTTTATTGGATGCGAAAACGAATCAAGGCGTCCGTTGGAGTTCAAGTGAGAAAAAACTCACCACTCGTCTGGGGTTGCCATACGTCAGTTCGGGGGAAATACACCAGCCGTCGTTGCGTTGCGGTTTTTCCACCCATTTTCAACGAGCTTTCCGGCCGTACAAGTGATTCAGAGTGCTTCCTGTGTTCATCTTTAACTGCCACACTGCCAAATTGTGCCATAATCAACACACACCCACCGAGGGATTTTTTTTTTCATGGGAAAAAAGCAATGAATCCATCAACGCCATGCAAGAAGATTTCACCCCAAATGCGCCTCTTGGAGCGTCAACAGGAGTCTCAGCAGTCATCAGGATCTCAGACACCACTTCGTGGAAGTCGATTCCACCTATTGCCCATGATCAGCACACCGCCGCTGTCACACATCAAGAGAGTTGTGAATCCCTTCGAGGCGTCTCTCACGGAGAGACTCCACTTGCCGGCAATCTGCAGGTAATTTTCCCAGAACTTCTCACCCCCAAACGCCGGGAAATCTCCTCCACACTTGGCTTATCTTTTACAGCCCTTCACTGTTCAATCGACCCTCAACGCCTCCGCACTCCTCCACGCAATTTGAGTGGACAATGGAGCAGGTTTCGCTGCTTAACCCGGCAACCATTGAGGCTCACGAAACACAATTCCTCAACTCTCCGAATCCCGATGTTGAAGCCCGTGCGCAGGCGGCCATCTCGACCTACTTCCGAGAGCAGCACGTGGTGCCGAGTCCCATTGACCCGCCGATGAGGCAGAAGCCGATCCTGTACAGCGAGGAGCAGGATTCATCAATTGCTCCGGAGCCGGGAAAGCGCAACGGCATAGCTCAGACTGTACTCACATTGCCACCGCGATTGCCCAAGGACGTGGAGGACGCACTGGCGCCCTTCTTCACCTTCACCAGCGATCAGCAGCAGCCTCCGGAGGAGGTGTACGATCAGGAGAAGGTGGACTCGTCGCTGAGGCGGAAGCTCTTTGGGCCGCTGGAGGATTCTGGCGATGACGAGGAGGAGGAGGACGAAGTAGACGCTGTGGTGATGCCACCACCGCGTCAGAACTGGACAAACACTCCTGAGAACTGGACTAAGAAGTTCAGCGGCAGAAGCTTGGATTCTCCCCACGACAGGAGTTCTTTCTCGCCCAACTTGACCATTCAGAGGGAGACTTTTGGCTCTCTGTCGCCCATCGGGAAGCTGTCGGTGACTGGGGAGCAGCAGAAGGCGCGCAGCAGCACGTCCAGCATCTACCAGAGCACTCCTGAGCGCTTGGGATCTGAACTATCGGTAGAGATGTCCCCTGGAGTGTCCACGAAGGCGATGGACGTGTCAGAGGTGGACGAGGAGCGCATGCAGATGAGCCAGAGTGATATCCTGGCCATACACGAGACACCCATGCGCTGCCGATCGATGAGTCGGAAGAATCTGTCGCACTCCTTCTCGCAAATCATGGACTCGGAGGACGGAATGGAGTTCTTCGGACGCACAGATGGGGCCAGAGTGGAGATGAAGGACGTCTTCACGCGGACTGACAGTGGCTTCAACGACGGCAGCTGCGACACGATGGACAACAAGGAGAACCTTGATCCCATGGCAATGGAGGGCGTCAGCCAGGACGTCTCCATGATGATCTCTTCCACTCCCGCCAAGTGGTGATACTCAATTGAAATTGTACGTTTTTAGGCATATTTTCCAATCTCAATCAAGTGTTCAATAAAATTGCAATAACTTCGTACTTTCGTCTGTTGATTACGAAATGCTTCTGGATGCTGGATTTCTGCTAATTTCAAGCTCAGCGAGTTTTCCGGAGCGCAGAGCGAGACAACTCTATACATCCCACATCCGTCGCATGGATGCGAGAGCGAGACGGTGAGTATCCGGAGCGACAGTTTGACAGCTGAACCCGAGTAAATAAATAAATATTGGCCAGGAAGACTGGTGGTTCTGTGCTGGAAAAGGCGATGAGAGTGTTCATAGATGGTCTCCATGGGCATTTGTGATGACCTGACCAGAGGATGATTCCGTGGGTACGCGAAAAGTTTGCCGAACGGAGAGCCAGATGGCTGGCGTCCAGGAAGCGCGAGGAGAGCAGCAGTCCAGGAGCTGGCGAGAGACAATGTGACAATAAGAGGTAGGCCAGGCAGTGGAAATTGTCTCACACAGAGCATGGCGGCACTGATTTACTGCCTCTTGTCTGTTTTCAGTGGTGCTGGTGAGGCCGAGAGGAGCCTGACCAGAGATGCGAGCGACTCTGAGGCGAGTGACAATCTCCAGCTGAGGATTCTCACCACGCGTGGGGAGTCCGTGGATGTGGTAGTGCCGCGCAATTGCACAGGAAATGCAGTGAAGAAGGAGGCTCTGAAGCAACTGGCTCTGGGTGCGCACTCGCTGCCCTTCTACGCTGCCAATCTGGACACAGTCCTGCACAGGTACAAACTGGTGCGCACGAGGCATCGCCAGGTGCTCCACTCGCACGAGCAGGTGGAGAGGGTGGGCTTGCAGGACGGCGAGGAGTTGCTGCTGACGACGAAGAGGACCTCGGCGGCGCACACGGCGCCGGAGAGTCTCAAGGGTCCCTCTCTGGCCGAAGTGATGGCCGCCACGAAGGATCTTCCCGCCACTCAGCCCAGCCCGCCGGCCGTCAATATCTACGACATGGTGCTCCAGACGGACCTGCAGTACGACATCCGGAAGATCCTCATCTCGCTGGCGCAGAGCTCGGCTTATGTGATTGGCGCGGGCCCGTTCGCCGACCGTCTGATTGGCATTCTAAAGCAGAGACTCCTGAATCGGCGCAGACACGAGGCCAGTGCCCTGGAGAATCTGCTGGCCATGGGATTCGCCCCATCGCGCGTGCACAGAGCGCTGAAGCTGAAGAACAACGTCTACTCGGCCGCCCTTGAGTGGCTCATCGAGAATCCCAGCCTGTCGGGACAAAATTCCATGGACGCACCCGTGTCGCCGCCCCCAATGACGGCCTCTATCAGCCTGAGTAGCGGCACCTTCACCTCCAGGCGCGACAAAATCGAGATTCTGCTGGAGATTGTGCGTCTGCACGCACAGCGCGATTTGCCAGCACCTCCGGACACCGTGACGAAGATCATCGAAATGGGCTTCGCGGAGTCGGAAGTGCGTGAGGCACTGAAGAGGACGCAGAACAACCAGGCGGCTGCCTGCGAGTGGCTCGTAGGCAGTCGCAGCCGGAGCTTGACTGACCTGCGAGATGGTCTGCCGTCAGATTCGCCCGTTCTGCAGGCACTCCTCACGTCGCCCCAAGTACAAATAAGCCTGGGCAATCCCAAGATGTTTGTGGGTGAGTTTCTCATCTCACACATTCTTATCCCGCACGCGTTCCGCTCTAATCTCATCCGCTCTCTTGCAGCCTACCTCTCGATGCTGGACAACTACTCGAGCATGAGCATGTGGCTGAGTGATACGGACACCTCGGGCGTCCTGGGGCACATCCTGCGGACGTATCACGAGGAGAAGCACATCGTGGCCATCAATCAGTTCAGCAGCAATCTCATATGAACAGAAGAAAAACGCAAGTCAATTATTCGGGACAATGTGCAATGCTTCTCCTTTCCCGGCTTCTGGAACACTTAGCAGATGCCCTGGAATCTAGTCATCAGGCGAAATTGTACCAAAGCGCGCTCCCCATTTGTTAGATCTCCCCCATCAAGTTTTAGTAGGCTATAAGGAAAATTGTTAGTGAAAGAAAATGATATTTGTCACGCGGATCATTGCTTAAAGTCGGTTGTGCAACGAAGAAAAAAAAACTCCCTCATTCACCCAGAATCTCTGGTGTCTCATCCGCCCCGCCGGAGCGGGAGGCCCAGGAAGTAGCTTTAGCCGCGCCAAAAAAGAAATATGAAGTAACATTCGAAGTAATGTCATAGTATTAAATACATTGTAGGAGAGAAATTTGGATTATTGGTAGTTTTTAAAACTCTTTATCATGCACAGAAGAGGAAATGTTTTCTCCGCATTGATTTCTCAACAAAATAAACATATTTCTTATGATCTCACACAGAAAGACCGCTTTTCTTGCAAAATCAATCTCATCTTTATTATAATTTCGTTACAAAATAGTTTCTATTCGCATTCGCTATATATGTGATTTGTTATTCGATCGTTTTTTTCTCTTTCTTCTCTTGTTGAAACACATTCAATATGAATGTCGTTTTGGGAAGGATTGTTGCCTTAATTTCTAAGTATAGAATCATCTCATTTCTCATCATTTATATTTACACACACACACAAATATCAGGTGCGATTTGGATTGATCGTTGATCGTTCGAAGTTAAAAACAAATGCGCTCTCAAAATTGCGTACAGAAGAAGAAATACTTAACAAAACGCAAAAGACAAAAACTCTTGACTCTGTCATAATCATATTGAAAAAGAGGAACGGCGCAAAAGGATCAAAATGCCATCAATTGCAGGGATCTGATGATCTACCCGGAAGCGGAACGTTTCTCTTCTCAGCCTCACTCTCCATATTCGAGCGCACTTGCTTCAGAACACTGTGCGTTTTGAGGATTTGCATCTGGATGTTGCGCTCAATTTCCTCCTTCTGCGAATTGGACTTCTTCAGGCGCTGTCGCATCTCCTCAAACTGCCGTGTCATCCTTGCCAGGCGCTTCTTCAGCTCCACATTCTCCTCCCTCACCTTGTCATACTCCTGCTGTCGCCCCTCCGGATTGTTGCTGCTGTTCTGCATCTCCACCGTGGACGCCGAACTCAATCTCATCACCGGCGGCTTCGCGTCAGTCTTCCCGGCATCGCTGCTGGACGCTCTCGCGGCATCACTGTCAATGCCAAGATCCGGTGAGGAATTGTTACCGCGTCCATCATCTGAGGATCTCTCACGGCTGAACTTCTCCACCAGAGCTTTCAGTTCCGCCTTCTCACCCATCAGCCGATCACACTTTGCTTGCAGATCCTTCATCATCACCTCCAGCTGTCCTCTCTCCGTCACAGCGCGCGTCCTCTCCACCACCGCCCGGCTGGCCTGCATTGTGGCATCATCGAGACTCTTCTGCGCATCTCTGGCCCTCTTCTCGTGCTCCGCCAGCAGCGCTCGCAGCTCAATCTCGCCCTCCGACATGCCATCGACAGTGGCTTGTGCATCTTCCAGACGCCGCCGCAGCACATCAATCTCCTCCTGCTTCTTCACCAGCACCGTCCTAGCCACAAAGTCCCGACTCACGGTCTCTCTGTGCTCCATCTCCTGGCGCTGCAACTGCGCATCAAGTTCCACTTCGCACTCCTTGCGCACCTTCTCCAGCCGGAAGAGCAATTCCCTGGTGTGCTTCTCCTTCAGGTACTCCGCATCCCTGGCCATTGTCTCCATCTGCATCTCCGCCACCCGAAGATCCACAGCCGCTTTGTCTCTCTCCTCCGACACGGCATCCAAAGTCTCTGATCTCTCACTCAACTCAGTCTGAGCACGCTGAAGTTGCTGCTGCAACTCCGCCTGAGATTGCAGAGAACTCCTCAGCTCCACAATCTCCCGCTCAAGATTTTCATTCATCAGCTTCTGCGCCTGCAACTCCTTCTGTGCCGCTTGGAGTTGCTCGTTCGCTCTCAGACGCTCCTCCTTGAGCACATTCTCTCGCTCAATGCCACTTATCTGAATCTCCAGCAACTTGTTTTCCTTGTCCGTCACCAGACACTCCAGCTGAGACAGCCTTTCACTCGTCACACTCTTCTTCATTGGCATCACAGCCGCTGAATCCTCATCCGTTGAGCTGTGCCGTGACGTCTCCTGCACAGTTTGAATGCCAATCCTCGCCGCTGACACATTCCTATCCGGCTCTGACCACGATTCCGACTCCGAATGTCCATCTTGACGATGAGAGCGCTTCTTCGCATCAGACATCTGCTCCTTGCGCTTATACGATTTGTCCAACTCCGTCCGCAGGAGCAACACCTCATTCCTCAGCGCCTCAATCACATTTCCATTCTCTGGCACATTCTCCTTGTTACTGAACACACTCTCCGGGAAGCTCTCATCAAGAATCGCCGAGAAGCCCGTCATCTGCATGAGACTCTGCTCACTCAGCGATATTCCGAGATTTAGGGAACTATTATTGTTGATGCTACGCGAGAGATCAAGACTCCTGTCGATGGCCTTTCGCATTGCATGACGACGATCGGCACACAAAGCACCCAGGATGTCCTTGTGCTTCAGCAGACTATCCAGGAATCCAGCCAACTCCTCAAGGCGCAGCGTGAGGATGGAACAGACGTCGCCACACTCCTTCCTCATTCTATTGGCACTCTCAACCTCCGCCTGAGCCACTGTCAGTTCCTTTTGCAGACTCCTCACCGTCTTCTCGCTGTCGACATTGTGGCTGAAGGATGAAAGAAAGAAGGGATCACACACTTAGTCTCATCACGATTCTAATGAAATTCAACAAACTCACCACAATTTCTGCCTCAAATCGTCAAGTTTCCTTTGCAAGTGACCATTCTTCTCCACCGCTTCGTTATACTGCGCCTCAGTGAATTGACCGTGCAGCTGATCCACTTCGACCATCTTAACAGGACTTCCGGTCCCACCATTCACCAACTTCGTCAGCCTCTCGATCTCCCTGTTCTTATCCCACAGATCCTTGTTGATCAATCGCTGCAGATTTGTTGTCTTTCTCTTCACTTCAGTCTTCAACTCGAAGATCTCGGCATTCTTCTGCTCAACCGTGCGCATAATTTCAGCACGGAGATTCGCAATGTCCACATCTTTGTTCTCAATCGTCACCTTCATGTCCTCAAGCGTTGCAGCCACATTTTCCGATGTGACAGGATTCATCTTCAGTTCCCCAATGTTTCTCACCAGTTTCTCAATTGCCTAGAAAAGAAAAACCATCAATCTTCACTACTCTGTTTGAACAATTTTCCAACACACATTTTCCAAATTTCTCTCCACTCGATTGCTCAATAGTGGAAAATTTAAGAGAGAGCATGGCCTCTCAGAATATATCTATTGTGTGACTCCTTTTGATGTTATATTTTCAGTCGACAAACTCCCAAATTAGACACACACGCAGCGAGAAAATATAGAATGGAAATTGCAACTTACCACTTTGGCATTCTCATGTGCTTTCGTTTTCTCCTGAAGACGCGCCTTCAAGTCCATCTCGTCGCACAATTTCTCTGCCAATTGCTTCCGAACATCCAACAACTGCACCTTCAGTGTCTACAAGAGTAAAAAAAAAATAACTCATAGAGAGGGAAATTCTATACAAAATTCTGTGGAAAAATGCTTTTCTCTTCGCGCATCCAAATTAAACTCCCAAAAATAGTGTTATGAAATGGGTGAACTCTCAAGACATGTTTATTTTAGGGAACAACACTCTTCTTGCATCTTCTTCTCCCTTCTTTCTCACGGAAAATCTTCTTACAAATATAATTATGCTCTTGAATGACAAACTCTTCATCCATTCCATCATCGTCAGGCTGTGAATTGTCTTGCTCATTCGACCAAGAAGCACCGTCTGATTCCCCTTGATTCATGTAGTAACTCAATTGACTGAATTTCTGGTAAAACAGTGAATTTTCCACTCTCTTGTGCGTTCTTTCACACAAATTTCCCCTCAATTTTGCAACTTCTCCCAGTAATTGACTTTCACGACTCTAGAAATTAGTTTGTCTCTAAATAGAATAAATACATTCAATAAAAAAAATAAACTTCTCACCTCAGCCAATTTGGCATTCTTCTCCAGACTCTCGAGATTCTCCTTTAGACGCGCATTTTCCGCCGAGAGCCCATCAGTTTTCACCTCAAACTCCTTCACCTTGAGTGTCTTCTGCTCATTTATCGCCTCCAGTTGCTTCATGGCCTCTTTCACCTCCTCATTGGCCGCCGTCAGTTCATCAACAGTCACTTGCAACTCCTTAATTCTCACCTCAACACCCATGAAGCTCTCTCTGGACTCCCTCTGCACCACATTATCACCCTCAACGAGTGAAATGAGGTTGGTCTTCAGCGAATTCGGTCCATAAATCTTCTGCATCTCACTAATCTCCAACTCTAGCAAATCTATACGAGTCTTCAGTTCACTTTCAGTGGCCTTCGCCTCCTCTTCCACCTTCTTCTGCGTGTCCTCCATGTATTTCATGGCACTGGCCGCTTGAGTGAGCAGTTCATGCTTCTCCTGCAACTCCTTCTTCTGCGCCTCAATCTCCACCTACGCAAGAGATGCCAAATGGACCGTAACATTGTCATATTACACTTCCCCCCAAATAGGGTAAAATGGGTCATGCCTCACCTTCAGGTCGACGTTCTGCTTGAACAGCGACTCCGTTCCTTGGCCCATGGCGCTCCCATTGAGCTTCTCCTCCAGAAAGTAGATCCTCAGCCTCAAATTGAAGTTCTCCCGCTGCAGCGTTGTCATCTGCTCCTCATAGTCACGCACAGATCTTCCCTGGCCAGGTGATCCCTGGCCACAGGCGCTAAAGGATGGCGATCCAAATCCATAGGTATCTGATCACAAGGAGAAAAGCAAACAACATTATTGCAACCATTGAATCTTCACAGAGTCCAGAAATAGTCTTTCATCTCATGAGTCATACTACGTGAAATTGAGCGACAGTCTATCAGAGTGTGAGCCAGTGTTCTTCTAAACGCCAGCATCGAGAATCCACAAGATTTCTCTGCCAATTTTCTTCACAGGCAAATAAAACAGAAAACAACACAACAGAGAAACAGCACAGGACTAAATGCGTACGAGTAGGTTGATGAACCTCTGTGTGTCTCTCTTTGCAGTCCATCCAGGTAAAATTAGCAGTAAAATCATCCCCAAAGCGCTTAACCATTGGCAAAATCACACTCTCGTCCTCAAAACTCTGCATCGTCATTTCATGCAGGAGGAAAAGAGACGCCAAAAGAGAAAGACAATAAATGCAAATAAAACTTTTAGAGAGAAATTCACTCTCTCATCTCTACAACATGCAGTTTAAAATTGAATTTTTGGCCAAGAGCCCGGAACGATGCGTTATTTTTGGGCGGCAAATATTTTTCACTTTGAATGAGAAAGTGAAAATTTGTGAGAAAAAAACCTGCACTATCATTTCATTAAATACTCACATGAATTATTCATCGTGACATCTTGCAGTTGTCCTGGACTTGTACTGAAAATACAGAAGAAAAGAGAGAAAGATGTGAATGTGGAAAAATTTCAGGGAAATCTTCAAAATGAAGAAAAAACACCCCCTCATCATATTTGTCTTCCCTTTTTCTTCTTCTTTTTGTACTTCCCTAACTGTGCGCGTAAAAACACAAAATGCGGTATTGAATAACACGGATGTCTATTATTAGATATTGCTCTGCAGAGAAAATTGAATGAAACCCTTCGCATGAGAGGAAATTTCTTCTCTCATCTGCTCACCCACGTGGCCCTCAATTCATCCTGCAAAGCGCGCGCGCTGTTGCAAGCGATGGAAACACGGAGGAAATATACCCCGTTGACAGACAGAGAGTTTCTCCGAAACTCAGGTCGAGCCACAAATCCGCATTGGGATTAGACAAAGGCTCTAAAGATTATAATGTCTCTAAAGACTCTACACTTTAATGATGATCGCAGAAAAAGTCATTATAAATTGGTAGGAAATTCATTACTTATTGTTGACCGCAATATTCAAAACAGATTTTTATTGAAGCTTCTTGTGCTTATTTCACTGTCTGGCACTGTATACAGACAAAAGCAACCATTCAACTTCGCAATGTTGAGAATCTCAGCTTTCCTTTTGCGTCACCCTTTGATCCTCCTTCACAATATCACCCGCACATCATTCATTTCCTCTCACAAACACGCAATTATAAATTCTTTACCACCTCAATTTAGCGGGTGAAAATATATGTGAAAAACCCACAAAAATTGACCATTTCACATATGTAGAAAATGGGTGAAAAACCAACAAAAATAGCCTCACATTTCCCCACAAACATGACTAAATGCTGTCCTCAATGCGACCTGAAGAAGTTTCCGCATCGTCTTGCAAGTCAATTAGTCTTTATTAATAGAGATTGTCTCTCTCTCCCTCCCCATCTCGGACTTCTGGGGCACTTTGGAGGTCTCTCAGCCGGTCACCATCGAGATTAATTATCATCGTGCTTGGGTCAGAGGTCAATTTGATAAGATTGCGTCAAAATTTACGGTCATTCACAGAAAGTAGGCCAGAAACGCCAGAAAGAAACATTTTCCATTGCCATGAAGAAACTTCCTAGACGTAAAATTCTTGAAAATCGCGTTAAATTTGCTGAGAAAATGCTTCTGAAAGATCATTGGCAGCAATATTTGTTCTGTTGTGAGGGTAAAATTCGCAATGGACGCATTTTCTTAACACTAACTTCAACTGAACCGCCAAAGATCTTCTTCTCCAAGGGATTTCTCACATCACAGAAGACTCTGAGGATCTTCAGGAGCTACAAATTGCCTTCGGGAATCACTCAAGTAATTCTAAATCACTCCACAACACTGAATAGCCAACAACTCTTTGATATATTGAGTGAAAAAGGTCTGCAAGTAGTTCGTCTTCCTGCTGAGAGTCGCGATTTGAATATTGCATCATTGTTCTGGACATTTCTGAAGAAAGAGCAGAATATTGGCATAACAAGTGACTTCCGGACAGTGAAGAAAGCCACAGAGAAAGCATGGAAAGTGACTCAGAACACGCAGTGGTTCGCAAAGGTGAAGGAAAACCTCAAGAAAAAGTTCGAGCAAGTCCTCAAAATCGATAAAATCCAATACTTTATGTACACTTAACAAATCTGTAATTGCCAGGAAATGCACAGAAAATATTACCGGAAACTCCTTTGAGTCGTTCGCCTCTGCGGCGTTGTCGAATTTGAATTGTATCTAAATAATCCAGACATTGTGTCTCCTTCTTCTCACACAAATTTCCACGAAACACACACAGAATTAAAATGTCTTTTGTCGCTTTTCACCAACAATTGACCACAGATCTTTGCTGAGATTCTTGCCCAGCTGCACAACAAGCCAGTTACAAAAAATAAAATGCGAAAAAACAACAGAAAATTTCACAAGATTGCTTTAATGTGCATTCCTTTAATGCACTTTGACGCCTCTTCACATTATTCGTGTGTAGATTTTCACCACTGTTTTTAAGTCACTAAATCGGTCCTTCGTCCCATTTTATTCAACGTGATTTTCTCTCACTCTCTGGCTGAACTCGTGTCTTAATGGCTTTTTCGCTAAAGCACCAAATAAAAACAGACCAACACCCTTTGAGTTGCAGTGCGTCTCACTCTTGAGGAATTCCTTATCAGTTCGCCACACTGTGTCACCGAAATGCGCCCCTCTTTATCAGTCAACAAACCCGCGCCGCACTAGGAAAAGTCTCAACTGTTGTGGTTACTGGGAAAACTATGGAAACCGCACATTTTCCCACCGTGAAGAGCCGCTTTGCACGTGGTGACAAACGCATGAGTATTTTTCCCTCGCAAATGAACCCCAAAGTTGACGAACAGCGAATATCTCAATGCTGATTAATGTGAATTGTGTGTTTATTTCAATTCAGCAAACACTCATTTCATCTCAATTTCCTCCTCTTCATTCTCTCTCTCTCTCTCGCTCGCATATGAAGTTCAACTGAGTGACCAAACCCACTTTATAGAGAACTTTTATCAACTCTCTGGCCATTTGCCACACACAGTTGCTGAGAAACATGGTGAGAAATATTCAATTTCATACCAATTATCCCGGAGAAGCTGAAAGAGTGACTCCAGATACAATTAATGATTTTTCTACTCACTAGAAAGCCCCTCTTTTCCTCACCAATCAACGCGATAAGCCCACGGAAATTGAAAAATGTAATTAGAATCATTCAATGCTCATGGTCTGCGTGCTATAAATAAATGAGATGAGGAAAAACTGCGTCTCAGAAATCACATTAGTGCGATCGGAAAATGAACAGAAAATGCAGAGAAAATGTGTCGCAATTTTTCTCTCTCTCTCTCCCTCTTCAGCACCCACAAGAATTTGCTTTATTGTTCATTGAATACAACTTTTAAAGCTTATCGTGGTTCGCATTTTAATCCAATGATATAATTTAAATAAGCAAGAAATGAATTGAGAAGTTTAAACCAAATTCATCAACTCTTTTCCGTTTTATCCTTAATACTTCTCCGCACATGCTTTTTCCCTTCCCATTTTACTCAAATATACACACAAAATGCAAATTGTGTCAACCCGAAAAAGTCACCAATGAACAAATTGCCTCTTGTATTCCGCATTGAGATACAAATTAATTCAATTCGGAATGATAAACTCCATGCCAGGGGCTCTCTATCTTTCCTCTCGCGTAAACAATGATGAACCTTTGTCCGTGTCTCGGACGGATTTTCATTTCAGTCTCTCTTGTCCCGCACAATTGCGCTCAATCCTCATGATTTTTTATTGAGTGTCACGGTCAGAAAGTGTTCCCCTCGCAATGCACTTCCATGTCCAAGAATGAGTCACTACGTCGCTGGAAAATAGCGACGACAGGAGAGACTTTTCCTGCCACGTGATAATTATTTCACATCGGCTAAAATGTGTAGTTGTTTGCTTTGCACAGTTTCTCTCTGGCCACGGAAATCTGGGGCCTCTTAGGCTGAGAAATGAGGCGACACTGATAAGGGAATTATCGTCGAGAGCAGCTGCAGAAGTTACTAGAATTTCCATTATTTAATACCCCCAAAATGTTGTGAGATGTGTTTAGGGAAATTTTCCACATAGAAAATTCACTTTCACTCTCTTCAGCACATCTTTTCTCCTCCCGAAATTGCACGAAATTCCATTTGACAATTGAAACATTGAGAATTGACTCCTTCACATGCACTCTTTGCCACTTCCTGTCCACTTGAAATCCCCCCAAAAAGTCCTTTCGCGTCTTTACGCACACTTTTCACTCTTGCACTGGTGCCGAAGGATGCTGGAAAATTTCCCTTTCACTCCAGCTGTCTGATATTTCCTTTCTTCGCATCGCCACACGAGATGACAAGACGACACACAACGCATGCCCAGAGAATTCTGTGCTGCCAGGAGCGATTTCAGTGATGAACTGAAGTCTCTCCTCGAGAGAATCTCGACTCGATTTGGCGACTCTCACATGAATACAATTAGAAGAGCGCCAGAGAGGAATTTCGGGGAGAAAAGAGCTCCAGTTCAACCATCCAGGAGCATCACGTTCTAACGGACTTTTTTCATCGAAACTCCTACAAAATGCGTAGATTTCGCATTCTAACTAGAATTGTGGGAATTCCCAGTTCGAATTCTCCTAAGTTCAACCCTGCTTGCAGCTGCCTCTTCGGGAAAATGCCCTTTTTATGCAATTCCGTCTCCTCGCCCTCACCAGAGGCTAGCCCAAGAGACAGATGGGAAACAGATGACTTGAAGGAATTGAACAGGAGGCCGGGAAAGTGGCCTGAAACAATTGATTTATGACCCTCAAGTGGAGCCTTCGAAACCTGTTGCCTAACCGTATAATTCATCTTATTTTTCTCCAAATTTCTGTGAAGACATCTCAAGACGATCTCTGAGACAGACATTTACACACTCATCTATGAGAATTCAGTGGAAAATAAGAAAGAAAATGCTAGGGTTGATGTGAAAAACTCCAGAGACGCTCATGCCACAAGACAATAATGCAGATATTTCTCAAAATACTCACGTTTCTCCATTTCCCATGGTTTCATTCACTTCCAAGAAGCTCTTTCTCTCCATCTTAGATGATTTTCCTCAAATTTTTCCGCTTTTCCACACGTATTTCACAATTTTTTTCACACAACACTCCACACGGTTTTGCTCTTTGAAAGTGACATTCACTGGTGTGAAGTTAGTCGCGATGCCCGGCTCACCTTCAGAGGTGTTCCGAAAGAGGTTCCGGATGGATAAAATGGGGTGTAGAAAAAGTTTTATCACCGATAATTCTGTGGAAAAAGTACATTTGGGAGATTGTGAAAGGTGAAATTCCAATGGCAAAAGATACTTCAGTCTCTTAGGCGGAGAAACACGGAGGAAGATGCTGGGATCAAATATCTGGTGGTCAGCAATGGGATGGAAAGTCGCTTGTGGGGTTTTGTTTACTATTTTGCTAATCTGGAATACTTGGGAAAATCTGGAGATAATCCCCCTGAAGATAAATCAGGAGTATGAATATATCATCGGTAAGTCATTTAGGTGAATATTAGATCGTATTCTCTAACTTTTGGGCCACATTTCCATAGTGGGAACAGGTGTTGGAGGCGCAACTGTCGCTTCAGGGATCAACAGTGAGGATGTCCTGGTCCTAGAGGCGGGCAATGAGGTTTTCTCCCTAATGAACATTCCAGTGTTGGGACCTATGCTGCAGGATAGCCCGTATGAGTGGAATTTCTACACGGAACCCCAAGAAAATGCAGCCAAAGCACTGAAGAAGAGACAAGTTCACTGGACTTTGGGCAAAATCTTTGGTGGAAGTCACATGCTAAACAATCAGATTTACATACGAGGGCATCCGGATGATTACCGAGAATTTGCGGGTGAGGAATATGATTTTCAGCGAGATATTGAGAGGCATTTTGAGCAATTTGAGAGCGACATGAAGCCACAGGAGTTGAAATTCAGAACAAGACTCGCGGATGCGTTCATCAAAGCTGGCCAGGAGAGCCAGAATGTTAATTTTACACTACCTCAAGTCACTCAGAAGCGTGGAATGCGCTACACAGTGGCAAACTTCTACCAAAATCTGAGGAGAAATGGTCACAGAGTAGTTCTTGGTGCTTTTGTAACGAAAGTCACTTTTGAAGATGACCAAAAGACTGCTGACGGCGTGAAGTTCATCAAGTCTGGGAAGAAGTATTCTGTGAGAGCGCGAAAGGGTGTCATCTTGTCTGCTGGTGCCGTGGGAAGCCCTAAAATTCTGTTACAATCGGGAATTGGACCGAAAGATCATCTGGCAGATGTTGGCATTCACTTGAGAGTTGATCTTCCAGTTGGTGAAAACCTGATGGATCACGTGACAACGGGATACAATCTCCTGCTTCTGAATGAGAGTCTCCACCTCAATCTGCAGGGCATTCTGTCGCCGACAAGCATATTCTCGATGTTCTTTAATGGCGAGGGACCCATGAGCATGCCCGGATGCGAGTCTCTGGCAATTCTGCCACTCAATCCTGACCTGTCCAAGCTCCAGTTCATGGTCATGCCGGTGGGAATCACCCAAGACTTTGGAATTCACCTCAGAAAGATCACAAACATCAATGACAAAGTGTGGAAGAACTATTTCGAGAAGATGCTGGAATTGCATTCGGCCACAATTCTGCCGATTGTCTTACATCCCAAGAGTCGCGGAGTGGTGAGACTGAGAAATGCTGATCCTCAATCCTCACCCATTATCGATCCACGATACTTCAGCCATGCTGAAGACAAGGAGCTCCTTGTCAAGGGCATTCAATTCCTCGAGAAACTCTTCGAAACGGAGGCTTTGCAGAAGATTGGCGCCGAAATCAATCCTCTCTTGCTTCCCGGCTGTGAATCCCACCCGTGGAGTTCTCGAGAATACTGGACATGCTATGTGGAACACCTCACGCTCACGACATTCCATCCGGCGGGCACTTGCAGCATCGGCAAAGTGGTGGAAAAGGACTTTCGCGTGATGCAGACTAGGAAGCTCTTCGTGGTGGACGCTTCTGTGATGCCCAATCTGCCGACTGGGAATCCCATGGGCAGTGTAGGGATGCTGGCCAATCGCTTCCTCACATTGCACGGCATTTCCCGCCATTTTGGCCACTGAGGCAGAGCGAGAGCGAGAGAGAAACAAGCAACTTTTTGTCAATAAAACTCTAATAAATGTTCTCTCTTTGCTAGTATAAATAAATGGAATATAATAGTGAATAGAAGTGTCGATTGCAATGGATGTTGTGTGAAGAAAAGCCACTCGAGTCTCCTCCGAGGAATGCTAAGCGACTAGCTCTTGTGATCTTTGATCCTGTGTGAGAGACACACACCCAGGAGGAGCGCCGAGAAAAAGGGGAATTGACTGTAAAATCGCTAAAAACATGGGGAGAAACCGCTGGGTGTTCTTCTGTGCAACCCTTGAGGAGATGATCGACTGATCATCCCCACTCGCGCATTAACTCGGCGCCAGGCGGGCGCCGAACCAGCTACTCTTCCAATCGAGCGTCTCATGGAGGATCCTCTCCTCGTCCCCACTGAGATGCAGCAACGTGGCCACGGCCTTGATCAGATGACGCGCCTCGACTTCGCGACTGGTGAGGAACTTGAACACCACATGCTTCAAGTACTTGAAATTCACCTCATCCATCACCACTGCGCCATCCGCCAGCCTCTCGGGCATCTTCTCCGGCACACTGAGTTGCTGCTGCTGCTGAATGTGATTCGAACCACCACCGGAAACATTGTTGTTGCTCTTGATCTCTTGCTGAAGTGTCTTCTTCATGTCACCCAATCGCTGATTCAGTTGCTTTATCGTCTTGTTCTTCTCGCCCAATTCCGTGCTCAATTGATCAATTCTGGCCAATTTGTCCGTCTCCCCGTCCAATATCGACTGCAGTTGCTGAATCTGCTCCTCCAGACTCGCCTCCCTGGCATCTCTGCAACACAACAAAGAAACAAACCACCGTCAGAATCACACCAAAACGATAAACATCTCACAATCTTCTCACCTCTCTTTCAACTCCGTTCTCAGCTTCGTCATCTTCTCCGTCAATTCCGCCAGCTCATCCTGCTCCTCCCGCAGACTCTGCTTCAGAATCTCCTCACTCTGCGATATCTCGGCATTCTTCAGCACCACATTCGCCTTCTCCGCCTTCTCGTCCGTCAACCTCGTCGTCAGCTCCCTGATCCTATCATTCAGCGTCGTCATCTCTCCCCTCAGCTGCGCCTCCGTCCGCCCATGCGCCTCTCCTTGCTCCGATAGCAGCACTTCCGCCTCATTCAGACGCCTCTTCAGCTCCTCATTCTCCTCGGCACTCTTCTCCTGTCGGCCAGAAAACAGAGAAGAAAAAAAACGAAGCGAAATTGAGTGAAAAAAGCCAGAAAATATCACATTTGGTGAACTCTCTCTGTTATCACACGTGCACTAATTAGTTAATTCAACACTCAAGAGGCTTATCAGTGCCTTTTTCACCACTAAAAAATTTCAATGGCCAAACAAAAGGGCAGATTAGATGATTTTCTGTGAATAAATGTGGAAATTAAAATTATTTACAAATGAAAATAACAGTGGAATAAGTCAGAATATTAAAGCAAATTAATTCATCTCCCACGGTGCGATGCTAAAATGCTCAGATTACAGCGATAACGCAGCTTTTCAGGCTATGAATTAACCCTCAATGGCGATGATATAAAAGCAAATAGAAAAGCTAGTTTATACAATATTTCTATGACTTCTTATTCAGGGATTCCAAAGTGCCAAAAAAATCGCTCAGTGGACAAGAAAAGGAATCTCAAAAGAATTTCTACAGCACATTTAGGATTTGATCTGAATTGAATCTCATAAATTTTCTCCGCGCTTTCACGCAAAAATTTCTCCTCTTTCACCACAACAGAAGGCATCGCTTTGCCAACTGATCAACCCTTTCCGCGAGCAATTTATATTATACGAACATAAAGATAACGTGACAAACAGACGAAACAACACAAAGAAATTTAAATTAAAGAAAAAACAAAACTTGTGTAAATTTTCACTGGCGAGTAAAAATTCATTTCCATTTTTATTGTCGCTATGATTAGAAGTCACAAAGTAATGTTATAAAATAAGAAAAAAATATATAAAACACTTCCCAAAGATGGAATCAAATGACTTTCCAGGATTTCAAGGTATTCAGAGTGCGGAATGGGAGTTTTTTTTTATATGAGCAAATGGTTTTTTTTTCTTTCACAGGGAATCTCAACTACTCACGGCCTTGCTTCGCAAGAAAGCCACATCTTCCTCATTTTCGAGGCGAGTCTCCCTCAGAGTGGAGCTCAGATCGTCAATCTCCTCGCTCAGGAGTTTTATCTGTGCAAAGAAAGAGAGGACAGGAAATTAGGAGGGAAAATGTGTATAGAAAACACACACACACACACAACTCACTTTATTGTCTCTCTGTCGAATCTCATCGTGGCACTTTTCCACCTCAAACTCCAGCCTCTTGATTGTCTCGTGGAAATCATCTCTGTCCTGGAGTGCCTTTCGCTTTTCCGTCGTCTCCTCGGCCACTTGGCGCGACAGACGACTGACTTGCGTCTCCAGCGCCAGATTCTGTCCACTCCACGAACTCTTGATGTCCGATAGATGGAGATGCGCCTCCTCCAGGCGCTGCTCCAGCATTTTCCGCTCCTGCAGCAGCGACTTAACCTTCTCATCCGCCGATGTGGTCAAAATCGCCCTGGATTCCTCATAAATCTCAATGCGACTCTTCAAATGGCGATTCTCCTCCTCAACAGCCGCCAGAGTCGTGGTCAGATTATTCTTCTCCAGCTGTGTTGAGTGCCTAAAGCGCTCAAGTTCGTCCTGCGGAGACAAAACAGCCAAAAAAAAACAGAATCTCTCAATCAAAAAAGACAATCAGAAAAGTTGGCATAACACACTTTACGATGGTAAAAATAAAGAAACAATGAATGAGAACACTTACTCAAAAACAACTCATAAAGAAGCACTGTTTTGGGCCTAAAAACACACTTATCAGAGTAGTAAATTTCGGTGCAACAGCCAATAAAACACACAAAAGTGCCCTCACTCTTTCTTCGGTGCCTTTCACAGGTGGATAAAAAAAACTAAACACACAGATTTAATGAGTTTTGGATGAGAAATCAAAAAAATAAAATCAGTCGCGACTTCAAAAAATCCTCTCTTTTCCCCCACGCGATATAAAGATTCATAATGATAAGCGAACGTCTAGCCTTCGTCAGCCCCATCAAGAAATGCAGTGGAAGCACAGCTCAAGATCCCGATGAGATGAGAAATGGTGGAAGTGTGCAGAGAAGCTTTACCTTGGCATCCTCAAGCATTGGTTCTAGCTCCTGGAGACGCGCCAGTTCACTTCGACACTGATCCAGCTGCTGTTGCGTCTGCTTGAGCGCCTGGAGTCTGTCCACGGCCTCCTGATCCCTGAACATCACCAGGTTCTTTAGCTTTGAGATCTCCTCGAGCTGCAGATTCTGGATCTTGTCTTGCTCCTCGCAAATCAGATCCTTCTGCACTTGACTGACCCTCACGGACTCCTCCAGCAGGGCGTTCGCCTTCTCCAGTCGATCCTTCTCCTCCGTGGCGCCGTCCAGCTTCTTCGTCAGCTCATCGCACTTCGCCTCGATGTCATTGCACTGCAGGCGCAGGGCAGCAATCTCAGCGTCCTTCTGCAAAAAGGCACCGCGCACAGAAAACACACCGCAATCAATTCAGTGCGCCTGTAGGCGTCCGGAAACCCCCGAAAACCGCCACAAACCTGCTCAATCAGTGACAAGTCATCAATGGACGTCATGCTGTTGAAGGAGTCCAGCCGTCCGCGCTGATACCGCCTTCCGGGTGGCCTGGGCAGGGGCGGAACCTCGCTGCCCGTCTCCTCCTTGATCTTGTTCTTCAGCGATGAAAACATCCCGACTAAGCAATCCTCACGTTCCCCACCAGCCCTGCGTGTCCTACTCCCACCCACTCACAGTCTGGTAATTGCACCAATTTTCGTGTGAATACGTAAACATTTGCGATAAAAATGAGGTGGCTTTGCGATAAACCTTGCCACTCGGCTGAATTTCACTGAAATCACTTTACCACGCAGACTAGCACACTTCCTGCACGTCCTCGTGTGGAATCAAACGTGGGGCTTCCTTGGGTGTAATTTATCACCACTTCTGCGTCACCATCACTGATATTTCGAGAGAAAAGAAGGATTTTAGAAAATTTCTGCGTGATTTGCAAATGCTGACATAATTTTCCACTGACAACTGCCATGCCAGTCGGGGTGTGGGTGACAATTCCCTTTCGGAGCCATTTTAACCTCACAAATTCAAGCACACAAATATTGCTCAATTCTTCCATATATTTCCTTTATTTTCCCTTAATAAGTAATTTATTGAATAAAATAAGCTTTATGCTATTTGTTAAATGCAAATTTACTACCGTTTAGTGTATTTACACATCATTTCTCCCTCGAAATCTTTTTGATTTTTTAGGCGGCCTCATCCACAGCAGCGCCATCTTCGTCACGCACTTTCGGACTGTGTTGGGAAATCTCTGCTATATAAATTTCTGGACACGTGTAAATAACGCTAAATAATCAATAAATCCAATCCCTGACGCTGAAAAAGTGCTGGCGAGGGAAAATGCACACGACAAGTGGCAGTTTGAGCAGAGAGTACCGCCAATAAGTGTCTACTGTGTGGCATTTTGAGAGCAGCAAACATTCGGGAGTTGTTCTCGCATTTCTCCCTTGATTTCCCCGGAATTGTGCGCTTCCGCCCCCGCCTGGGCCGTGCCCCATCATGGATGAGACTTTAGTGCTGATATGCCTGGTCGTGGTAATGCTGATTGGGTCTTATCTGGCTGGCAACATTCCACTGGTTGTGTCACTTTCCGAGGTGAGATCTTTTATCGTGTGTCCGGAAGTGTTCTCATGATTTCTGGGGCGTTTCATTTATCTCTGCAGGAGAAACTAAAGGTGGTTTCAGTATTTGGAGCCGGTCTCCTCGTGGGAACTGCCCTGACTGTGATAATACCCGAAGGGATCCGTGCACTGTATGACGACGCAGTCGTGACGCCAGTCTCGCCTGAGAATCACCTCAATTCCTCGCCCAAGGATACCCACCCGGACGATGGCCACGCGCCCGAACATTCCTCCACCATCGGTCTCTCCCTCGTGCTGGGCTTCATCTTCATGATGCTGGTGGATCAGATCTCCACGCGCCGCGACGGTTCCACGGAACGCAACATGACCGCCACTATCGGTCTGATCGTCCACGCCGCGGCGGATGGCGTGGCTCTGGGCGCCGCCGCTCACGCCAGCCACCACGATGTGGAGATGGTGGTCTTCCTGGCCATAATGCTGCACAAAGCGCCCGCCGCCTTCGGGCTCGTGTCCTTCCTGCTCCACGAAGGCTTCGATCGCCATCGCATTCGGAAGCACCTGGCCATGTTCTCCGTTTCAGCGCCCTTACTCACACTCCTCACGTACTTCGGCATCGGGCAGGAGCAGAAGGAGACATTGAACTCTTTCAATGCCACAGGAATTGCCATGCTTTTCTCGGCCGGCACTTTCCTCTACGTTGCCACCGTTCATGTGCTACCCGAACTCACGCACGCGTCCCCTACAACTGCCGGGGGCACGTCGGGGCCACACTACAGCCACCTAGAGCAGGGCGGAGGCGCTCCGGCTAAGGGTTATGCAGGCCTGAAGAACACAGAGCTCGCGATTCTCATCTGTGGCGCTCTTCTGCCACTGCTCCTGACCATGGGCCATCATCACTGAGTCCAGTAGCCAAAACTGTCCCAGAGTAATTGTACTGACCCCTTTTTTTATTCAACCAATACAGGTGACACTGTTGAATTGACTCTATTTTCTGTACAGCACGCGACAAACATCCGAAATGGGCAAATCGCGGGCTTTGGCGATCTGTTTCTTCCCCCTCAGACACTCTAAATGACCGGGATTCTCCCTGAGAACACATCTTGTGTTCGCAGGACAGTCACAGAAGTCAGAAATTGTGTCTTCCACCGGAGTCTCTTTACGATCTTCGTGAATTTCGCAGAACTGATGGATTTTCCACGAGTCTTTCTCTACTTTTGCTGGTCTTTGGCAGTCCTTCTGACACGGGGAGATCGAATAGGAGTCCCTGACCGTTTTTTCATCATTTATGTGAGGAGTCAGGAGGAGACCAATGCCTGGGTAGATGAAAAAGGCGAAGAGCGACACCGCAACCAGGATCATCATTGGGATGAAGATGGCAAAATACTTGTCCGGAAGGTAGGTAAGGGAAAAGTATCCACGAAGAACGCTGTCTGGAACCAGTGCCCAGATGAAATACAGGAAGAAAAGTGTCTTGAACAGGAGAAACATGGAGAATCCATAGACAGCCCGTGTTGGCGTAGGTCCGGGCGCATGTTCTGGAGTCGCCATTCTGCTATATCTTGTCCTGATACCCTCAGTAGTGACTGTACTTCTCACATGGGGGTCCAAAGGCATCCATGGTCTCACAGCAGAGAATCAGGGAGTCGAGAAAGGACGTCAAGCCTGTCCTTAAACTCTTTGCTGTGTTTCCGGAAAAATTACTGAAAATTGAAGGCAGTTTTCTGTGATAATATACAAGTTTGGCGAGTAGGGAATGTGAAAAACTCACACAACAAGCCAGTTTCCCTCAACAATGAGGGACTTTTCCACGTGATTTCGCTTTGGTTCGGCGTCTAGACGTAAAACGTCGTAAGCAATTTCTGCGTGTCGATTTGTTGGAAATGGCACCTTAATTAATCTACAAAAAGACAGAGAGTTAGCAAGAAATACTCTTCAACTACCTTACAAGGCACTCACACTTCTAAATCACTCATTCTTTGGGGAATTTGTCAATAAAAAGACGATTTTCTAGAGAGCAACACAGCATCTGATATCTGATGTAAACATCCGGAAAACGTCACCCACTCGCCGGCATCAGCGCCATGGTGTCCAATTGCAAACTATAATCTTCCCGCTCAAATCGTTACGACTTATTCTACTGAATGTACTGAATCCTCCAGAGAAATGCGGAAAAAACACAAGTAAAAACTCTGTACCCTTGTCCATTATCCTCAGATGCATTCAAATGTCTCTCGGGGTGAAGAAATGAGTGGAAATTATCTCGATGGCCGCTCTGTTTGTCCACAAGGTGGTGTTTTTTGCCGCAAATTTGCAGGTTATGCCAGCAAAAAGAATCCCTTTCTCGAGAAAATTGGACTTTTCAAGGCATTTTGCCTATCTAATTTGCTGCTTGCTGTGCCGGATGCACATCAAAAGTCCCCCGAGGAACGTGTACGATCGTAAAAATTAGAAATCACCCACATTCACTCGCAGTCAGAAGACTTTTCTCTCTACCAAAGCATAATTGCAGCATCTCTCCGGGTCCGGGAAAGCTATAAAATGTCCCGACGAGACAAAAAAAGCCTATAAAAATTTGACACTATCCATTCGCCCGGGCAGTTTTTTCCTGTGGAATTGAGATTCCATCTTCCTCAGGCCGCCTTCAAGTGGTGGATTATTTATGGGCCGAAATGGCTGCCTAGAATGGCTACCCGCGGGGGCTCCTTTTTATAGTCCTTCGTCTCTGATGACTTCACTTGCCTGCTGCCCTCCGAGGGTGGAGTTTATTGAATTTAATAGCTCTCAACCATCTTTCCGCCACTTTCGGATCTGCTCTCATTTTTCTCATCTGCCAAACGGAGTGAACAAGGGAAAATTGAGGGCAAATGTAAGGAAATTCTGAGTAAAGGCGGCCAGTAAAGTGCATTTATGATTGTGTTAATTTGGACTCAAAAGGACAACGTCTGAAAAAATGGGAGCAAATATTTGAATTTCACTTTTATTGGATGGCAAAGCCAGTTTTTTTCCCCTGTCCAGCCATTAACATTACAAGAACTCCCTTTTCGCCACAATGGCATGTCCGGGAGAGAAGCCTTGAAGATGCTCTAAATGTGCTGGCGCAATTCACTTGAAGTGCACCCTTTTTGTCGAAAAGGGCTCATCGAGACTCATTTGAATATTTTTCACCTTGGCCAAAGGGCTGCGGAACGCACGAATTCAAGGCCAGACTTTGCGCGCGAGAAAGGATTTTTGCCATTTTTGTAATGTCGAGGGGAGAGTGCTGCACACATGCGCAAAAAAAACACATTGAGCAAAAGAAGGGGTGAAAAGAGAAAATGTGCGCGAGAATGAAATTCTAGACAATAAGAATTCGCAAGAGAGAAAATTCTTTTGTCTAAGCCGGTCGCGCGAGAGCGCAAAGGCGGTTAAACTCTTGGGAAAGTTTTTGCATTCTGAACACGGAATGACCGTTGAACTGATGAAAAGGGTTGGATTTTGTGCAAAATCGAGTTGGTAAAAGTGGGTTTAACACATAGAAATGCCAACGATTTTTCTGATTCCGAAAATAACTTTAAATCAATCTGAGTAAAGTAAGTTTTCATGGAACTATCCATTATGAAAATCTATAAACATATTTTGTTGGAATAATGGCAATTAGAGAGGCGCTCGAAAAAGCGTCCAAAATCTCACTTCTCCATCGGTTTTTGCGATGCTGCGCTGCAAAAATCGTGTCGAAGGCAGAAATGATGATTATTTGCGAGTCGAATTGAGGAGTTATTGCATAAATCATTTCCTCTGGCTCACGATTTTCCACTGTGGTGTGAGTATGGCCAAGATTGGAGTTGAAAAAGCAACGCGAGAGGGAAGTATTGCAAGAGGCATGAGCGAAATATTATAAAATAATGCGCTCTGCATGGTGAATGTGAGCCTCTCGAGACTTGCTATAAAATTATTATAAAATAGCCAGACGCGGTGTGTGAGTGAGACGACAAAACTGGGTTAGTGAAAGTATTATTCAATTCACAACCATTTTGTATGCCTCTTTTTCCCTTGCTTGTCTCGCGATCCACAAAAATGTTCAAACTGTCTATTCGGCGGCTCTCACAACATAATTATGTGTGTTTCAACGTCGGCAGCATTGCTAAACTTTCGAGAGTCCCAACCAATTATTGGGAGCTACGGAAAAAAGCTCGCGCGCAGTTTTTGAAGGGGAGGAGGGGGAAAAAGCTTGGCGCGCGCACTGGAAAAGTGAGCGGAAAAGAAACTACATGGCGGGAAAATCGTGTCAAATGCTAATTGTTGCGGGATTGCGAGGGAAAAAAAGCCAGCGAAGACAAAGAAATGAAAACGCGAAGAGAATTCAAGGTTTTCACGTGTGTCACGTAATGGACTTCTCTCTCTGAAATCTAATTGAAATTTTCAACTTGTCTCATGACAAAATTGTGACAATCTGGAATGGGAAACCGTCTCACGGTTGTGCAATTTCCAAACTGACCGCCATCAGACTGAGTCGCAAAAGCACAACTCCTTTTTCCCAGGCAAAAGAATTGCGCGCGACTCTCGCTGAGGGAAAATCCGAAGGGAAAATTGATTGCCAACCTGTGGCATTAATTTATGTGACAATTTCTCATTTCATTAATTGCCACCACTTTTGTCACAATTGTCTTCTGTTGCAAGAAAACGACTTGCTTAACCCTCTTCAGGTGGCAAATTAAAAATTTCCGGCTTTCTTTCGTACACTTCTGTATGTGTTTCTGTGATTCTAAATAGAGTTCATCAGTATTATCTTGCCTTTTTGGTGGTAAATCAGATGCAATCGCACCTGGAATATAAGAAACCACAATGCAAATGCTGTATTTACACGCTTTACATCGCATACAATCCATGAAATTGCGACTGTGAAGGGTTAAGAGTGCAACATGTTGCGATGGTGTGGCAAAAAAGTCATCTGAGATGTGAATATGAGACAAGAGAAAATGGAAATGTATAACAATGGGGATAATAAGTGTGTTTGGAGGCGCTGAGGAGGGGCGAAGAAGGAAGGCATGAGAAGTCATGAAATAGAAAGGGAAAATGAATTCTTCTCATGAGAGCTGCGCGCAATGATGGAGTGAAAAGAGAGATGCAGACGCCTTTACCCAAAAACATTATGCAACATCATGTAAGACGTGAAAATTTAAATTCTTATGCAATTCATACACTCTCACTCAAGTGCCGCGACTTCTCGTGGCAATTTCGCGAGAGTCTCTGGTCAACACAGAGGATCATTAGGATAATCCCAGATCCATTGCGCACAACACCTCTCCTTCTGGCCTGTGATTGGAAATGCAATTTCTTATTAATATGTGGCGAAGAGATGGGCATGGAAAGGAAGGGAATTGACCGACTTTCGGTAATTCTACCAATAATAATAATATGTAATATGAAATTGAAGGTGAACGCTGAAGTGAAATTGTTTTCAACACACACACACACACACATCGTGGAGTGAGAAATGATGAAAAAGTCGAGATACAGCGAGATATTTATCCACGAGTCTTTCTCTTGTGCCGTTTAATTACATAATGGCACTTTTTGTGAAATTTCATGTAACTGAAAATCGCGCAATCACATTATGTCGATTACGTATTCACAACTTCTCTCTCTGTACATAATGTACAACAATTCCAAAAACCGCACAATTTGTGCGGGGCGAAAATGGAGAAGAAGCGCGCACGCATTTCTCGCGACTTTATCTGCTGTTTTGCTATATATTCTATTCTCGAAAAAGAACTCCCTGTGACGTCATTCGACATCGAAATACCATTGCGCGTGCATTTTTTGACTTTCTTTCGCCGTGCGCGATGAATGGCGCGGATAATTGCGATGCGATGGAGCCAATATGGAGAGTCGTGATGTGACGAAAGGTCATTTAATATTATAATGAAATTCAGTGAGAGAGAGAAGAGGGAACATCATTGATGAGGTTCACCTTGTAACTGAATTTCTCGAAAAAATTTCAATCGAATATTGTGTCTTACAACTCTGGCAAACACTTGGGAAACTCGTTTGAAAAATCAATTTTTCAATGTGGCGCTTTTTTCGACGCCAGTGCTAACAAGGAAAATGTGTCACATTCCACGGTGTGTTGAGGCCTCAATTGGCGTGAATGGATTTTGTCGAGTGACTACAGATGATCGCAGAGAGATATTTGACTGTATATACACAGCCATCAAGATATGAAAGATAGCACAAAACAATTGTGAAAATGTCAATACAACTTGTGTGTAACCAGAAGATGTGATGAGAAGGAAAAATTCACGTTTGAATTTGAATATTTGCCAGGACGCATAGTGAAATTGCATGCGATGTGAGATCAAATATTGAAAATTTCCTATACAAATTCCTTCCACCGTGTCGTTCTGCCATTGCGGACAATTATGGAGAGTCTCCGGTGGGGAATTATGGGCAGAGAAAATGTCAAGACGCGCTGCTGCAATGCTGTGAATTATTAGAAAGGAGCCTTTTTGCCCACTATTAATAAATTTCTTGGCTGCATGTGTGCGCGCGCGAGAACGGCTCGAATTGCAAATAACGCAATAGTTAATTGGAAAATTGCGACTCTGGTGATCCGCTGATGATTGGATATTCTCACTCTCATCGCCACTAGGTCTTGTCCATCACATCCAGAAGTGCGCGCATCCCCACCGAGATGTGCAATTTTCTGCACGTCCAAGAGACTCTCTTCTTCCCTTTCGAAATGCCTCTCCTGCACAGTCGCTGGCTGTGAAAATACCTGGCGCAACAATCTCCTGGCCTCCCTGCGGCCTCCTCGCCGACGAAGATATACCACTATTTCCACTTGGATGGTATTAATGTTGCCACAGTGTGCGAGAGATGGTGGTTGTGGCTGAAATTCTATTAACTGGCAGCTGTAAAATGAAAAGACCTCCACATAATTTATGAAACGTCATTGCGAAACCGTCCAATTTACAACATACCTTACAATCTATCTTTCTCTCCTCTCGTTCCACCTTTTTCCGAACCGCTTCCTCCGGCCAACTCCATCACACGCCAAATCCGCGCGCTTTCGCGCGCCAGCCCGATTTTTTCCGGTGCAAGTGCAC